CTATCTATCTATCTATCTATCTATCTATCTATCTATCTATCTATCTACCTACCTACCTACCTACCTACCTACCTAATTATCCATTCAACTTTTCAGTCCATCTATCCATCCATCCAATAATCAATTCTCTCTCTCATCTGTCTGTCCATTTCTATATCACTCATGCCTGCGGATAGTTCACAGATAAAACAATAAAATGATATAACAGCTATAGAAAAAAAAAAGTTAAAAACCAGATTAAAACAAAAGGGACAATCACAATTTTTTTTTTTAAAAAAAAAGCAGACGGAAGGAGACTTCAAAGCAAGAAATCAATCAATCAATCGTCACTATCAATAACGGGATGAAATTCTAGACAGTGTTCCCCGATATTTATGCTGGGGTTCAAAGGTCAGGTTCGCTGACTTTTAAACCCCAGATCGCATAGGACAGATGGATTTATTAGGCCTGGGTCGTCTGCACGCAACCCTCACGGATTTCATTTGCATCAACGTTTTGCTGTGGTTTTAATTCACCAAATGGAGTCAAACTTCCCGTAGGAATGTCGGATTGGTTTGCTCCTGATGCCTTTGCCCACAGGTCCTATGGCTTTTGGGGGTGGGGCTCTTTCAAGGGCTTCCTTTTTTTCCCAGGGGCGCGGGGACCGGGGGCCTCGGCTTGGCCATCGAAGGCCCCTCGGAGGCCAAGATGTCTTGCAAGGACAACAAAGATGGCAGCTGCAGCGTGGAATACATCCCCTTCACGCCCGGGGACTACGACGTCAACATCACCTTTGGGGGACGCCCCATCCCAGGTGGGTGAGGAAGATGGGTGAGGATAGTACTGTTAGGGATACACCCTAGCAGAATCTGCACGGCAGTCAGGCAGGCAGGCAAAATATGTGAGATAAACTTTTTTGTAGCTTACACTCAGTAAAACAGATACACTGTGCTAGTTAAATAGTTTATTCCAGTAAGAGTTATAGCTTAGTGAAAAACAGTCCATATATCATTCACTAATTCAGTCCGTCCGGGGATTATTCAGTTGCAAAGTCCAGTGTTGAAAAAGAGCTCAGTAAACTTACAAATATCAGTCCAGTAATATATCTCCTCGCAGTAGAGATATGAAGAAGTCAAACCTCCTTTCTTCCTTCAACGTTCAGCAACTCAGGAGTAGGGAACACACAGTTAGCAAACCAGCAATCCATCAAACCAGCAATCGTCAACAATCCAGCAGGTTCTCTTGCTCCCTCTTATGGCGGTTTCACAACCGCACCCAAAATTACATGCTTTGCAGTTTAAAGTGACACACACTTAAACTTACAATCATAGTTTATATATATTATTTTACCCAAACTACGTTAGGTAACCTTCTTATTCCTAACAGAGGGGACTCTCCAAGACTCATGTGAAGATGGGAGGAGGGGAAAGTCCTCAACTTATGACACTTTGTTTAGTGAAGAGCCACCACTGCTAACGAAGCCCCACCCGAGCTCTGGGGATAAAAGGCAGGGGGTGGAGACGAATAGGCGTGGCAGACAACCAGCCGGACAGACTTGTCAGCCTACAGTGAGAGAGAAACTATTTGCTGGGGCTGCCGGCGCTCCTAATAAAGGAATCTTTGAGTTCACTTCAGGGGGTGTGTCCTGTTTGGGGAGCTGGGCAGGGGTGGGATTCAATTTTTTTAACAACCGGCTCTGTGGGCGTGACTTAATTGGTGGGCGTGGCTTGGTGGTCATGTGACTGGGTGGACATGGCTTGGTGGTTGTGTTATTGGCTGGGTGTGGCCAACTCAACATCACTCACGTTGAGGCATGCATCTCCTCCTCGCCTGGCCTCTCATGACTGTGGGGATGCTGCAACAGTCGTAAGTGTGAAAAATGGTCATAAGTCACTTTTTTCAGTGCCATTGTAACTTTGAATGGTCCCTCCACACAAGCAAAGTACCAGCAAAAGAAGGAAAAAAAAAACTCCAGAGAAGTTCCAGAGACAGGAAGTCTAGTCCTGCCAAGAATGTAATAAGGGTTAATGGAGAGGCAGTTTCTGTAAGCAACCCCAGAATGTTTCCTTCCTGCCTTCCTTACAGGATTAGGCCAGTAATTTCTTCTAACAACCGGTTCTCCAAACTGCTTAGAATGTTAACAACCGGTTCTGGCGAATAGGTGCGAACTGGTAGAATCCCACCTTTGGAACTGGGTCAGAACACAAAGGATGATCTTCTGCTGGGAACTCATGGTGGATCTTTCTTCGCAGGGAGCCCCTTCCGTGTTCCTGTCAAAGATGTGGTTGATCCCAGCAAAGTCAAGTGTTCGGGACCCGGACTGGGGGCCGGCGTGAGAGCGCGGGTCCCTCAGACCTTCACCGTTGATTGCAGCAAGGCTGGCCTGGCCCCTCTGGAGGTGAAGGTGCTGGGACCTTCAGGTATGGTGCTTTGGAGGGAGCACTGATTAAGAATGGGTTATGGGATGGGAAGAAGTTGGTAAGGAGGACCTCAAGGTGACCAGAGGTCAATGCCTAGATCTTCAAGAAGACATTGGACAACCTTTTGTCTGAATTAATATAGGATCTCCATCTTGAGTTGTGGGTTGGACTAGAAGGCCTCTAAGGTCCCTTCCAACTTCTGTCAAGAGCATGATGGGTCAATCCTGCCCTAGTTGGCTTGAGTTGACCCAAAGCCACCTTAGATGCCTTCTAATGCTTTGCTCCTGCTCCTCCTCTGTCCAGGGGTAGCTGAGCCAGTGGAGATACGTGACAATGGAGACGGCACACACGCTGTGAAATACACACCAGCGACAGACGGACCGTACACCATCTCTGTCAAATACGCCGGGCAAGAAGTACCCCGCAGGTGAGAGACTTAGAGGTTCTTGGCCAACTTCTCCTACCATCACTGGAGGACTTCGGGTCCTCTCTTGATGCCCCCGTGATTCACTTAACAACTGTGGCAAGGAAGGTCATCAAATGGGGGCAGAACTCACTTACCAAATGTCTCGCTTAGCAACAGGTGTTCAGGGGCTCAATTGTGGTCATAAGACGAGGACTACCCGTACCAAATTCCTCCGGTTTTATTTATGAAACTGTCCCTGTCAGGTTCCTTCTCTTGAAAACCTGAGTTTGACCTGCTGTAGAATTGCCCAGCTGGGCTGCCTTCTGAGTGACCCAGACTACAATCGCCAACATTCCCAGCCACGGGGAGTTGTAATCTGATTGATCCGGCCTCTGATCCTGCAGAAGGAGGTGCTCGGATCCTTTCGGGGTTGTGGGAAACCTTGAGTAGAGACCAGCAGTGGGATTCCAAATATTTTCCCACTGGTTCTATGACACCACGCTTTGCCACGCAAATCAGCTGAACTAAAAAAAAAAACAAGGGAATATAGGGCAGGATAGGGTGGGGGCTGTTGGGTGGGGCCAGCCAGAGGTGGTATTTGCCGGTTCTCCGAACGAGTCAAAATTTCCACTACCAGTATGCCAGAACTGGTCTGAACTGGCTGAATGGCACCTCTGGTAGAGACCCAACTCACACCAGCTCCTTCCTTGACAAACAGGAGGAAGAACTGAGATGTCTTATGGGGGCAGAGGGATGGCATAAAAACATACGTACCTAAATGCATATAAACTGAATGACTGAATGAATGAATTGAATGAATGAATGAAATGAATGAAATGAATGAATTGAATGAATTGAATGAATGAATTGAATGAATGAATTGAATGAATGAATTGAATAAATTGAATGAATGAATTGAATGAATGAATTAAATGAATGAATTGAATAAATTGAATGTAATGAATTGAATGAATGAATTGAATAAA